GTATATTTAAGAAATTGTTTTCGTTTGCCGCATTATACCCAGAAATGTCTATGGCGTGTAGATGGCATCTTTTTAAATTCTTCACTACATCCCAGAAATGGAGGCAATTTTTATATTCTTTACAAGATTTTAACCTATAGAATATTTATATTTAAACCAAAAAAAATTTTTATATATGCATAATCCTATAATCGTTATAATATTTATGAAATTTGTAAGCATATTGAAAATTCTAATAAACAATGTAAATTCTAAGGCTAGTAATAGAATTTTCTTCCAAAATTTTCCTTTTTCTAATTTTATATATAAATGAAAGCAATTTTTTTTTAAATTACTAAAAATTAATAATTTCTTAAAATTAAATGTAACAGAATGAAACGAATGTAAGTTCTATATAATATTTTTTGTAAAAATTTATTTAATGTTTTGGAGGATCTAATAGAAATATCATTTTATCATGACATATATTTAACTTAGAACTTCCATCGGTGGCAATATGTCTTCGATAAGAGATAACATGTACCTAAGACAGAAATTAGCCATTCCTGACCTATCCAAAATTGATAGCATACCTGCGTCATTCGTGAATTCTATCAAAAAAACTAGCTATAGATTGGTAATTTATTTTATATATTTTTAATATTTCATAATTTCAAAAAAAAAATTAATATGTAGCTTTTTTTAGGTCACATTTTGTCTTATTTCAAAAAATAAAGTGTCAACTTTTAGATAAGAAAAGTAATTAAGTTATTTATAAAAGTTCGAAGTGTTTGGAAATAGGCTTCATGTGACCAAAGCGCTATAATACTGAATTGTCGAGGTTTCACATATAAAAAAAGAACTACTAAAAAGTTAATGTATCTTGCATTAGATAAATAATGAATACTAAGCCGGGGGAGAGCGCAAAAATGGCTCGATAACCCGAGAGATACCAAAATTAAGGAGATATACTGAGAACGATATCGAGGTATTTCTGCGTTTACTATAAAGGTGCTTTAGTGCCTGCCAAAATATTATAAAATTACACGTTATAATATCTAATTATTTACATAGTGGTAACGAAAGGTCTCAATGACTCCTAAAAGTGGGGGTTTCCCGAAGGCAACGGAGCTTGAAAACTAGAGGGAAGAGTCTGTTAATTAAAATATTTTACTATTCTTTTTCCGTGGGTTGAGAAAATACCATATACAATCCTAAGCATTTAATTTTTAATAAAAAAAAAATTTTTTTATTTTCAAATATATTGATTGATATACACGTAATAAACACTATACTTTAAGTTATTAAATGTTTACTTGATATATTAAAATAAAAAATATAAGCTCTTAGAAGATATGGAAGTGGATTATTGAAAAAAAATTTTGCACTAAAAAGGATTATTACTTATAAAATAAAAATTGGACAGGGTATTGCCCACTTGTTTACCACCTCTAGATGGATCTAGTAATCTAAAATGTTAAAAGTGGACAAAAGTGAAAATTGTGAAATTTTAAATGATAAGATTTCTGGATGGGAAACACCTTAAATTATAAGCTTTCTCGTATGGGAAATCCACTGTATAACTTCGGAAAAACGATATAAGAACTCGAACATTCTATTAATAAACGATTTACTTTTGAGATCTAATAAAAGTAAATAAATTTTTTACCGGATTACCTACAGGATAAAAATGTATTCTAATTTAAGAAAATGTAAAACTTGAAATTGTGACGAATATCACTCATGTTTATTTATTATATCTTATGCAAGACCTATTTTACAACAAATTTTCTATTAATGTTAATAATCATTTTTTTTCAAAATGTTCACGTGATAAGAAAAGAGAGCTTCATATGTTAAACAGGAATTGGGCACCCGAAAAAAACGCGTTCAGCAGAAGCTGAAGATGGGATTGTCGTTTCATATTTAGTGAATATGAATTTTATTTCAGAAAATTTATTTTAAATTCAATTTTTTTATTTGTCATGAAATTTTTTGATACAAAATTTATTTTTTGTCCTGAAGTTTCTTCAGTTCTGAGTGGTTCCATCGATTTCTTTAAATATGATATGTTATTTTTTTTTAACCATTTCAAATCACAGTTGACGTAGACACTAGACAGAAATGAATGTATTATGTAAGGAGCAGTTGACAGATTCTTTGAAATTTTACCTATGAAATAAGTTATGTTTAAATTAAAATTTTAACTTTAACAATAACAAACGTGTTAGTCAAAAAATATTTAGGTTTATAATAGTCACTGCCTTATCAAATTGGTATTTTATTTATTTTTGATTGGGATTGATATTGCTAGTCTTGTTAAAAATCTCAATTTGTGTCGATTTTAAAAAAGGACACGATAAAAATTTTAGCCAAAATAATATTAAGTAAGCCTAGAGATTTAGAAAATAGACGTCCAAACTTTTCTGACATTTATGAGGATCTCCATGCTTACATAACATTATTTTGGCTTAAATCATAATCGGGTTCTTTTTTAAAAATCCACTCATATTTTAAAGGGGCTGATTTTTGGAATTCGCTCTGCGATAAGAGCGCCACTTAATTGTTTCTGGGTTCGAATTCGAATCCAATAAAGATCATTTTTTTTTCTGAAGCAAACTTGGTGGTTTTGTCCTTGGGGAGATGATAGATACTAGATCGGTCTCGACCCCGTGATTCCGTAAATATATATATATTAAAAAATAAGTGAATCTTATTGAATTTTAATAAACTTTGATCGATGTTTAGCAGGTTGTTAATTTGAAAAATTGTTATTATGTTGACTCGGCAGTATCTATCATTAACCAAAAATATATATTCACGTTCAAAATTCATCTTATGCGGTTTAAAAATAAAGAATATTTTTAAAAAAATTAAAAACTATTTAAAAAAAAAAATCAAACCGAAACGAAACACGAAGTCAAGAAAGTTATATTTTTATAATTTCAAAATCAAAGAAATCACATTTAGAAAACAAAAAATATATTCAAAAACACAAATTTTTTTGTAGGGCTTTCCCAGCCCTTAGGCTAGGAAAAAGCATCGATAAGTTATTTTGGTTCAATTAAAATGATAGATGAGGTAATAATAAATATCACCAATTTGTTTCGGAGAAATATTATATTTGACGTAGAAAAATCTTGTCATTTCAAAGAATTAATTAGCCCTTTAAAATGATTTTATTTTAAAAGTTATTTATTATTCATTGACGTAAATTGAATAGCCGAAGGGGAAAATTGAGTGCAATTTGATTAATTTTTTTCTTTATTGCGATGAATGATTGATTTTTGAATATAATTGTATCACCCTAATTCAAATTTACGAAAAGAATTTTTATTATAGTAAATGATTGTTCAATTTTTTTAAAAAAAGGAACAGTTTTATTGCATTGTCATTACATTTTAAAATAATATTTTAAAAAAAAGTCAAAACATAAAAAATTGATATCTTCTCGACTCTCCTGGACTTTAAGTTGATTTTGTAATAAACCAACAAAGTCTTGCAAACCGGGCCATAAGCTCGGTACCTATACCAGGCCCGAAACAGAATACGAGTTTGGTCTTTACAGCCCCTGGCAGCGCCTAAAATTGCGAACCCCGATACCAAACCAAATTGGCCATTTTAAATTTTTATCGCATTAGAATTTAAAATTTCATTGATTTTATATTATGATTTTAATACACAAAAAAAACACTAGATTATATATTCACACAGTGTATAACTTATGTTAATTAATTTTGGGGAGTGTTATTTGAAAATAACCATTATTCAAAAATAACCATTATTCAAAAATGTGACCTCCATAAATCCAATATCCCACCCGGTAAGTGAATCGATTTCGTACGTAAACGCATGAGCGAGTTTATGACTAACGGCTCGGTTTGGGCCCATATTTTAAAACGGCTAAATCGATATTTTAGCCAGAAAAATATTGCCAATGCCTCGAGATTTTGTTAATGGATGTATAAACCTTTGCGGATCTATGACCAAAATCTTACATAATATTTTTCTGGACAAAATATTGAGATAGCCGTTTTTAAAAATCAGCTCAAAAAACAAACAGACACTATTTATAACTGGCATGCTCTCTCCTTGAATGCACAACTCCTTACTAACTCTCCTTTCGTTTCAGTTCCAATCATGCAACAATACAGTGGTGGAATTTTCTTATTAATTCAGGGTAGTTATCGTTAGTTTAATATTCATTTAAAGCGGTCTCAGCATCTTGGCTTGGGGGGGGGGGGTGATTAGGAAGATTCTGGCCCATGCCTTTTTCCTTTATTATAATCCAACGTTTTGAATGGAGAGGGGATCCAACTATAATTTTTAAAATTAAATTTTAAAAAATTATCGATTCTATAGTGACAGAGTTCTTGTGTGTCGTTAAAATGTTACAAAAAGAATATTTCCTAAAAAAAATAATTATAATTTATTATTTTGATATGACAAAATAATAATTTTTTTAAAATAGTCAAAATCATCTTAAAAAAGTCACAAGCACATATGATATAATATATGTATATTAATATATTTTTTTATATTGTAATATTTTTATTCTTCTATTACGTATCCATTTCCATGATTTTGCGAAATTTTCGGAATTAAAAAAATTCCCAAGATATTAAAATTTTATCCGTTATAGTTATATTCAGCTGAGAATGATTCTTTAATTAATCTTCGTTATTCCCCATTTGCTGATCTCTAAAAAATAATCCTATAAAACAAATAAGATTTTTAAAAAAATAAATAAAAATATTTAAATGTCACGATAAAAAGTAATATAACAATTATTGATTTTGGAAATTTTTTTAATAAAATGAAATAGAAAAAATATATTATTAATTTTTTACAAAAAGAAAATGTTAAATAAATATAATTATTTTTCGGGTTCTTAAATTAATTAATCCTCTCCATTCCGTAAAACTGTGATTTTTTTTTAAAATCAAATTAATTGTGATTTGATTCGATATAATTTATAGGACATTCATTGTGGTTGACTCTTAATAATCATTTTATTCCTTATTCACTGCGTCGTTATGATGCTAAAACATGATCATCCAACTCACAATAAACATCATAGTAGTAACATCGTCAATAAATTCATTAAACATGGACAAAACTCGAACCATGGGATCGATAAAAAGGTACAAATCCTTTTCATATTTTGCTATATATAAATCAAAGGAATCACGGATAGAAATACCCTAGACAAAAGTACCCCGGGCGGACAAAAACACACCCGTCCTAAATATTCCCAATTTTAGAAATTTTCTAAAATGCTTAAAAATGAATCATTTTAAAAAATGTTTCCCTATAATCAGATTTTTTGAAAATTATAATATTTCTGTCCGGCGTCAACTTGCCCTTGGGTATTTTTCTCCACCTTTATTTTTGTCCGTAGTAATTTTCAGGCTCTTTTTATCAAGGAAATTTATGTCAGTGATTCGTTTAATCTCAAAATCATTGATTATATCCTTTTTTTTAAAAAAAAATCTTCGATATATAATATAGTTTAGCGGGCACTATTATGTGAGGTTTTCCCCATAATTTTATTGGAGGTCTTTTAGGTCCACTTATTGTAGGCTTACAGAGTTCTAGATTTTTATAAAAAATAATATTAATGCTTTTTTAAAAAAAATAATTTTGAATTATAGCCCTTATTTTAAAAATTTATTTCAATATTTTTTTTATAATGATATATTATATTGTATTTACACTTTGGAGAGAGGGGGTATAGGAAGGAATTTTTTTATTAGTTTAAAATGATATTTACGAAAACAGGCAAATGATAGGGGAAGGGAATCCCCCCCCCCCTTTATTGTTGCGCCCCTTGTCCTTTTTTTATGGAAGATGAGGATTCATAAAAAATCATTTCCTTGGATGATTTTTAAAATTTAAAATCTCGATTTTATAGGGAATGTATTCTCAGCATCAGAACAATTTGGCCTTTAACGTTTTGAATTATCAGAGATCTGCAGAGAGCTACCATTTGCATGTCCCGGCCTCCAGATTTTTTTTTTAAAAATATACTATATACATTTTAAATTTTTATAGTTAATAATGGCGATTTAAAATATTTGGTTTTAATATATACAGCCCAGCCCGGGTATATTTTAAAAAATTTCGAGGCCGGATAGGCCCATTTAAAAAAATTAAAATACGGCCCGCGCCATCTACCTGGGGGGGGGGCAGGGTGCTTAGGGCCGGGCCTGCTAGTCTCTGATTTATATATACGATTTTTTTTTATGCAAATTGAAAAAATTACACAAAAGGGTTCATTGAAATTGTAAAAAAAAATTTTTTAAATCACCCTCGTGGATGATTTAAATTGAGAGACCCCAAATCCTCGCATCTTTATATCTATAATATTAGATTAATACTTCTCTTTTTAATGTATAATTATTGGCCATGATCGTGACAGTCACACCTACTTATCGAAATAATATATAAATTGATTTGATCATATAATAATTTACCGCCTAAAAGCCTAACCTTAAAACCATTATTCAAATTTGATATTTGGCCCTAATTCTCGTTGGCGCTAAAAATAAATAAATAATTAAAACAGATAAGTGTTATAATAAATTTTAAAGTATTACAAGATAGGAAGAAGAACTATTTTGCCGTTAATTTATATTTTTTATTCGATCGTATTATATTTTTTTTAAAACTCTTCTTATCACGATCGCGCACTTTTGTCACATTTGTTTTAACCAGTCACACAAAGTTAAAAACTGCCGCTCCGAAAAACGGTTATAAGATGATACAGTTCCCTTTATAGTCAATGGCTCCGAGTCCCCCAGATGACTAAAATATAAAACGATTTAATTATGATTATGTATGTTGACTAAGAGTGCCCCCCCCCCATCACCCAAGTTACCCCGTCCCCAGGAAGATTTAGATGACTATCTCAGAGGGGCTAATGGAACGTCATGAGCTCGGGTTATATTGTATTGTGTAAAGCAAAGTGTATCATGTTTCGAAAGATATATTTTTTAAAATTATTGTTATGAATAAATAAGCAGGATTAATTAATTGAAAACGATATATTTTATTTAGAAATTTTTTTTTAACAAAGAAAAAATTTATGATTTGGAAAAAAAAAACAATTATCATCATCGAACTTAATATAAATGTAAAATAGTTACATCCTATTTTAAAATTTTTATTTATTTTGTGGATTAAAAAGAATCATAAAAATTTGATATTTTATTTTTTTTAAAAAAAATATATATGTAGTGGGAAATTAAATGCAAATGCAACATATAAAATCAGTCAACTTGAAATTATCTATTTGAAATTTGATAAATAATTATTTATTTATTTGATTTTTAAATCACAAAACAAAAAAAAAATAACAAAAAAAATTAATTTTCCAATTTTTATTTTATATAAAAGTCAAAGTTTCACACAAACAAGACAACCACGTTTTTCTTAAAAAAATATATATTCTATTAAAAATTCATTCATAATAAAATATTATTATGAATTTTTTTTTGTTTGTTGATTTGATTTTGATTGGATTCGCAACAAAAAAAATTTAACGAACAAAATAAATGGATCAATAAATTATTATATTTATGTAACATTGTAAGTAATATATATTTTTTTTTTATCAGATACCAACATAAATACTTAGGCCCAGTTGCCCGATTTCCTTCCTCCCACCCCTCATTATTTTATCTGCTCGGTTCAGTGGATATGATTATTTTGCCTCCCGGAGTTTTGAACAATTTTGACACAATTTGCAAAATGTGACTGTCCTACTTACCTTTTTAGCCATAAAAAGGAGTTTCTAAATTTTGATTACATTTCTTTTTTTGAATAAAATATTAAAAACTTTTCCCGCAGCGTTAGGAAGGCAGCAAATTTACATTACGGCGCCAGTAATAGTTGCGATTAAAAACAAATCTAAGACCCTCCAATGAGAAGCAAATGGATGTTAAATGATTTTCCAACTGGTTGGTTGATAATCCGGTTCTGCAAAATATTGTGAAATCGGTATTATCTAAAAATACTACGGTAGGGATAATTTATGACCGAACCCAAACCTTCACAAATAATTATAAAATTTAAGTAATTTTTTTTACAAATCTAAGATGGCCCCCAATATATTTGAAGCGACGAAATCTATACTAAATGAATTTTTTACAAATTTTTTTACAAATCTAAAATGGCTTCCAGTATATCTGAAGTGATAAAAACCTAACATGGCCCCCAATATATTGAAGCGATATAATCTATATTGAATGATTTTTTTTACAAATAAAATACGCCAATATATTTGAAGCGATGAAATCTATTATTTTTTACAAATCTAAAATGACTGCCAATATATTTGAATATTTTTATCATGGCGGCCAATATACTTGAAGCCATAAATTTATAAAATAATTTTTTTTTTAATTAAGAATCACAATAATATTACATAAGAACTGATTATATTTTTTAAAAAATATTAGAAAAAAATTTAGATAAAAGAATTTTTATAGAATATAGTATTTAAATAATTTAAATATAACATGATATGGAAAAAATATTGTAAAAATATGTAAAAATATATAAAAATTATTCTAATAATCACATCTCTTAAAAATCATTATATTAGTGATTCTACAATAGCAAAATATCACTACGTAAGTGATTCTACAATGAGCAGTTATTTCATCCTATGCTAGTCCTAATTTTTATATTTGTTCACATGGCCGACCCCCCCCCCCTTCCTATAAGATTGAGCGACCCCTTTAATCAGACTCTTTGAGATGAAAAATATGTTAAGCCTATAAATTTTTATATTACGAGCCTATCTCGTAAAAACAAAATTAACCAAGCATATTTTGGCAGATTAAATTTATTATAACATTTATTAGTTAAATATTCAAAGGTCTGGGATGAGTCGCGATCGGGAAAATATTATTTATTAGAAATAAATATTCGCTTACCTCAATAAGAAGGGTAGGGGGTGCTATTGAGGTTTATTTGGGATTTTGTATATTTTCCATTTGGATAGATACTGCCAAATTTGATTATAATACATAGCTAAAATAAAATCGTGATTTTTGGAAAGCGTTAATGGCCTATTCGATAAGAGTGTGGCTTGCCCAACTCATAGTTCTATCCAGTAAGGATTATAATATCTGACCACAACAGCTTGTCAATGCTAATCAGTTATCGTCAATCAAATGATGGTCACAGTTGGGATCATTTTGAATTTTATAACCTTACAAATCAACGAATCTTGTTATTAAGCAATTGTGTCTGATCTGTAGATACTCATGATATCAATAAATTTTGAAACCATCTTTTATCATTACGATGCAAACATATTTCCTTTATTCGAGATCTTTCTTGTGAATCAGTATAGGCTGCTAGAGCGCATATTAGCGTTAACAATTCCATAAAAATTATTTCTCCATTTTAAGTTATAAAAGCGTTTACTATGAGGGAGAAATTAAGAATATATTAATTAATAATAAATAATTTAAAAATATAAAGTAGATAATAAAATTGCGAATAAAAATTTTATTTGGGATATCTTATAAATATAAGGAATGAAATATATTTAATAAGGAACTTGAAAAGCAATTAGTTAATTAGGTCGTTCAATTTAAAAAAAAATGCCACTCATTATAGTGTCTCATTTTGTCAAATTCGAAAAAAATTAATAATAGTGATTTTTTTATAAAATTATATCTCCAATAAATCTAACGCATTAGTAACACCAATTAGATGTTTAAAAAATTATGCAGTTTCCGTATTATTATAAAATTTTGTATCAAATTCATTTTTTCAAAAAAAAACATTAAAAATATTTCACCTTGAAAGATATGAACCCTTAAAACTCGGATGTACTGGACTAGGCTAGTTATTAGAATGAAATGTTTTTGATTTGTATATATTATAAGTTAATCATGAGATTGGTTGCTAATCTACTTACATTATTATATCAGGATGTGGTAATGAATACCACCTTTATATTAAAATAAACAAAATTTAGTTTTATTTGTGCAAAGAAATTAAATTTATCATAAAAATATATATAATTATACCTTATATATTTCATGTACTAATCAGAATAACATCTTTATTCTGATAATTATGTTATTTACTATATGATTTTTTTTCTATTAAGATCTAATTTTGA